CCTGCTGAGCTACTCCCCAGGTGCGAGCAAACATCTAGTGCTGTAAGATAGGAAGATGAGAATGCAGGAATGTGACCGATCTCTTGCAGCTTCTGCTACCATAGTATTGTAGTTGTAGCATTGCAGTGTGTTGCGTGCTTGGATTTCAACCTGCCCCCTCTTTTGAAAGAAACGGGTAAATCTCGACTAAACTGGGCCTGGAGATTGGTGGGAAATGGAAGACTTACCAAGCCTGTTCCCTCTGAAGTTGATGGTAAGGCTGACTGTGCATCCTGAGCTCTCGAGTACGTTTTATGTTCAGCCATAACTGTTGACGTAGCTGAACTGGACACAGAGCTGCTCTGCCAAATGGTCTGGGGAGACTTGGGTAGGTAGTGAGAGGTATCGAGCTGTCCTCTGAGCCTGTGCGACACAAGTCCCTGACACGCAGTAGTGCAGCCCTAAGTCAGTAGATATGTTAATGGACAAGACTCCCTCTGGGGCATGTCTGGGGGGTTTGCAGCGTTTCCTGTGTGCGCCTGGATGCGGCCGTGCACTGTGGCAGGGCAACATTAGCTGGCCTGCACAGTTTGCCATAGGTCTGGACATTTGGCAGCAAGCAAACAGCAACTAATGCTGCCACTGCTCCCCTTCCACCAGATTAGAGACCTGTGGAGAGCCCCATGGGCCAGAGGACACGGCTCCATAAATCGGAGTTTGCGCACCACCGATTTAAAGCTCCGAAGCAAGGCTTTGTGCAGACTGACTGGCCGCAGCCCCTCTACATCTCCTGCCCCGTCAAGTCTTGCTCACGGCCCCTCCCTGCTGGTCTGCACTTCTCTCCTTGCTGTTCATACACAGGCTGGGTTTGGATTCCCTGGAGCAGTCTGCAGCCGCCAGGGGAAGTCTCCTGTCCCTCCATGTAGTGGTTCTCCCTGCCTGGCAGAGTTCTGCCAGTCTTTGAGTTCTCCCCGCACCACTGGGTCCTGTGGCTCGAAGGGGTCCCAAGCACACAGTGGAGGTGTGTGGCTTGCTCTCCTGAGCTGCCTCTGCTCCCATGGCTGCCAGCAGGCTGGCCCTCTGGTGAGGGGTGCTTGGGGAAGCATTTCCTGTAAGACTTAATGAGGAACGTGCAATCAAACACATCCACTTACTTGTATCATGTGCAAAGAAGGCTCCTTGGCATAGCTGAGCAGGCTCTGTCCAGTGCCCCGGTGCCTGCCAGCCTGTTCGCAGCCCAGCAGGCTTCTCCACCTGTACTTTGTCTTGGTGCTGCCTGATGGAACAGCAGTTTCCCTCTTCCTGCTGCCTCCCTCAGGAGCATTCTCCCATCAGTCTGCCCTGCCATGGGACCTCTCTTCCTCCTGCTCCTTTGCAAGCACAAGACCCCAGGTGGCTCTTTTGTCATCTTGCCTTGCACTTGCCCAAGTGGAGAAGGCAGTCAGGCAGGCTCTTTC